ATATGTGCCAAAGATATCATGTTTCAAATAACTCCAGTTAGTCCAAAAAAAAAACATTCAAACTTTGTTTCAGAAAAAAATTTAGAAAATGTAGCTGCTTCCTTTGATATTATAGGAGAGCTGGTACTAGAAAGAATTTTTTACGTCTCCAAATAAAAGTGCAAGATCACCATTCAATAGCATTTCTAAAGGTATTGTTAGAAGCTCAGAAAAGCTAAAAAATTATAAAGAAGTTTAAATATATTGCATTGGTGAAACTGTTGTTGTAAAAAATCATTTCCAAAATTCACACTTGATTGTTATCATTAAAGATGTTGAATGTACTATCTATTAGGTCAATTTTTTAAAGTTAACCTTAGTGGAAAAGAAATAAAATTTCTTTTTGACAAATATAGGGTACAGTGATTTTATAAGAAAAAACATGATAATTCAAAAAGCTTATCTAGTTGGAAATGGTGATGGTTTTTTTTTATTTGTTTGATAAAGAAGATGAAGAGTTTTTTAAAAATGAATTAAACATTTCAATTTTAGACAAAACTTCTTATTAGAAAACATTTTTATTAACTTCTTATTGACTAAAACCTCTTACTAAAGTTTCTTTATTTAAATAAACTTTGTTTTTCTTTGGTTTTTTTTTGTTTTGTTATATTAGATGGAGTTATATGGAATATATATAGTCATATGAGTTAAATGTGAAAATATTTGTTAAAAAAATTTATAATGATAAAATTAAATATCATTCTTTTTTAATTTATATAAAGATATTGAATTTTGATGCAAAACGATTTATTTAAAGATATCGAATTTTGATAGAAAACGATTTATTCCCAAATTGCCCCAGTGTCGAGGTTATTTGGAAAGGCGTTAAAAAATGACTTTACTTTTTAATTATAAAGTATAATTTGTCAAATCTTGAATAAAAGTATAGCATGAACTTAGTTCTATCCAAAATAAATGCCTTTTGCGATAGTAATTAGATATAAAACAAGTGATCTAAATTTATGTTTTATTTCTTTCCAAATAGCCCCCATTTACATATATTAAAATTACGTTTTTACATAATCATGATTTTTTTATGACTGGTTATAATCAAAGTCATTATAACAGATGTATTTTACGACTATGGTTTTTTGTAACTTTTGCTCAGCTATACAAAAGCCAATTTTGCTCAGCTATACAAAAGCCAACTTTTGCTCAGCTATACAAAAACAGGGTGATTATAGCCAATGTCGCTATAATCACCCTGTTTTGCAACTCTTCTACGGCTATTGGAAACCATAGTCATAAAAATAATTCCTGTAAATAATCCTGTGAAAACCCACCATTGCGGCATATTAAAAATTGCGGCAAATAAAAATAATCCTGTGAAAACCAACCATTGCGGCACAAAAAAAAAAAAAAAAAAAGATTTAAATAAAAGTAATTATAACATTTATGCCTTGTACTAATAATTACAATTATAATTATAAATTAAAAGGAGTTTCAAAAAGAATCATCCAAGTTTTAATTAAGATTGATTTTTGTTCATTACAATTGTTATCTGTTACTTAAAGTATTTATAATAAATACTTAAAGTAGTTGATTATTAAGTTTAATAAATTTTATTAGATTATTAGTGATTATTTAATTAAATATAATATAGTTTATATTTGTTAATATAAGTTATATTATAACAATCAGTAAATTTCAAATTTTAAATCATTTTTAAGATATAAATATAAATAAATATAAAAATTTACTACCGAAATAGTTAAAAAAGAAAAAGTATAAATTTGATATAAATTTTATTTCTAAGGAGAAAAGTTTTTACTCTTTATTAAAGATTAAGTAATAATTAGTAATGAAAATAATAATAAGTAATGTCAATAGTTAAAATAATTTTTACAGACTTTAAAGTTTATTTTTAACTTTATTTATGTTTGTTTCCCCATACAGTATAATGAGACAAGAAAGAAATTTTAAAAATGATAAAACTTAATTAGTTATAAACCATACTCGTAAGTAAAGTTACAAAACATGAGGTTTACAAACATGAAATCTTTTTGGATGAAATTTTTTTTGGATGTCTACAAAGTGATAGGGACAGCTGATAAAGCAGTAGGACCTTTTTTTCTTAAAAGTGTGCCCTTTAAATAAAAATGTTACCGATTATAAACACTGAAAGTGTAATTGTGAAACTTTTCCAATTTGTTGTAAAGGAAATTTAATGGAACAGTGAGAAAAGACAGAACATACACTTAACATTAACTAATTTATTCTGATTGATTTCAAATTTTAAAGAAATAATACCTAATCTTGAGGTGAATTGAAATAGTTATTAAAGCTTGCCCAAAACTCAGTAAATAAGTAGAAATTGTATCTTGGCTGTGTCGATCAAGTTTTGTACTCTTAATAATGTCTTTAATTATTTTATTTTTCATCAAGTTGAGAACAAATCGCTGTTCAGCTATTTTTAAATAATGGAATGTGCAAATTAACCAACTCCTAAATGTTGAGATGTTTTAAGATCATTGCATATAATAGCAAAATTTCATTCCAAATAATAATGTATTAAATAAGCAGTACTCACTTTTATGATTTAATTTGTATGACAATTTTTATTATTAATTTGTGTTCATTATGTGCTACTAATCTTACTATAATGAAAGTCTTTTAATGCTTGAAACTACACCTTTTAATAACTGTTGTAATAAAAACTTTAGAATAATTTGTTGTTTTATATTCAATTAAAGTTTTGTCCAATTGTGTGCTTATTGTGCATTCTGGTTAGTGTTTAATATTACCAATGCACTCAAAGTTCACTCACATTTTTAAGAAATATTTAAATTTTACAGTATCCATTAAATTTGATTTATTATCAAATCTTTTCAAATAATGTTGAAACATTTTATGAAGATATTAGTGCAAAAATTGTGTTTTTCATCAAAAAATGATGTTTCTTGCATAAATGGAGGATTAAACTTTTAAACATAGCTGTTGTGTAGTAAAAAAACTGCACATAAATAACAAGGTCAAAAAAGAAAGAATTTAGTTGTAGAATTTACTGAACACAAGTCATACGTATGTTTTTCCCTGATATTTTATTATTGACCCTATTAAAAAAGTTTTTAGGAAACTTTGAAAATTTTTGGCTTATATTGCTTAGTGGTATATCAGAGAAGATGCTCTGGTGCAAGATATTTGTTCTAGAATATTTGCCCCTATATTTTTTATCAATAGAAATTTTTTAATATCCTGATAGTACCTACTCAAATCCAAATCTTTATTCAGAGGGATATTCTGAAGTTCTCCCCTCCCCCCTCTCTCTTATATAAAAATTGTTTAAGGGTCTAAGCGACCCCTAAAATTTTTTAAAATCTAGTATGAATTTATTACAAAGAACACATTTAAGGGATACCACCAGACATTCTCAAATAATGTAGTTTATGAGCTACCCATATATATATATATATATATATATATATATATATATATATATATATATATATATATATATATATATATATATATATATATATATATATATATATATATATATATATATATATATATATATATATATATATATATATATATATATATATATATATATATATATACAAATAGTATTGCGTACTAAGGTAAGCAACCTGATGTCATACTGAAATAGCCTGCTGCTGGAGGCTTCAGTACATACATCAACTTACAAATAGCCTGACTCGCAGTGGAGTGCTACTGCATCGACTGAGGGTTTGGGATGGGGCAGCAATTGTTTCATTCATCATTCTTTGTTTTTATTCTTCTTTTTCTAAAAAAGCCGTATGGGTTAAGGTAAGCAAAAAAAATTTAAATTATGTTAGTTTATTCTACAAATTGAGTGCTCAAAAAAAAAGTTTAAAAAAATTGTTATTTTTTAAATAAATAACAATTTTTTTAAACTTTTTGACAACATGTTTCATCAATATTAATTGACAACATCAGGTATAAAAAATTAGTTATAATTTCTGTATATAAAAATTTTTTTTGGCTATATTTAAAATTTAATAATTTTTACAATAGTTACCATAGTTACATTTTATAAAATAAATAATTACCATGAAATTTTACAAATATTTATACAAAAGGGATGAAATAATTAATAATAGAAAAAATAGGAAATATGGATATCTCCCTAAGTTTTGAGCTCATTCTTGGAGGAAGCTCTATCAATAATTAAAAAGCAATCAAGATTTGTTGAATTTTTGCATTTTTGTGATGAATTGAGATGTTTGTAAATGTGTGAGGCCTTATCTGAACTTAAATGTTCTGAAATCCTTGTTGTGTAGTGTCTAGTGGTTTCACAAATGTATCCAGCATTACAGCTGGAACATACAAATTTATATGTTTCAGCTATATGAGAGAGATATATGAGATATGAGAGAGAGAGAGTTAGTTGGGCATAAAACATCACTGGTGACATCATGCTGAAATGGCCACATATCTATTTCAGTATTAATTACATATACCAACAACTGAGGGTACAGACTTAGGCAGGTAATATAAAATGTGACAGGACTTAAGTCAGCATTTTCAAAACAGAATACATTAGCACCAGGGATGCCGAGTCCCAAAAGAATTCTGGCTTTAAATCTATTTTTTCCTAGTCTAAGGTGTCCAGGAGTTCTAAAAATGTTGGGTAAGGTAATCTAAAATAAGAAAAAATTAATGAGGTTTAATGACTTGGAACTTCTTGATTTTAAGCCTGAAGTTTTAAAAGTTTGGAGTCCTGGAGTCCTTGCTGGCATTATACATAAGGACTCCGGGTTCAAAAGTGAATTGTTCCTCTAACCTAAACATCGTTTTTTTCTCAAAGTCCATAAGCTTCTTTACATTCAGGAAAAAAATCAAGGAAGAAATTATCTTTTTGTGACCTTCAAATCCAGCGTCTTTTTTGCAAATCAAATGATTAGCACTATACCAATCTAAATCTGCTTATATATATTTTTAAGTTTTAAATGTTTATTTTAACGTGAACAACTTTTTATTTTAGAATATATTTTTACTTTATACAATATTTGAAGTATTGAGAGGGTGTAATGGAAAATTTGTAAGTTTTTATTTTTTCAAATAGCCTAAAATATAAATGTATGTATTTTAGAAAATAAAATTTACACAAAATCTTGTCATCTTTAAATATTAATGTAATATTTGATTTTTTGATAAATACTATAATAAAGCATTATTAGCAGTTTAACATATTTTATTATCAAATGTAGAAATGATTATAATCAGTAATAAAACCAAGTGTCTAAGCTTTGTCTAAATGTATGTTGGCCAACAAATAAATAGATTTGTATTTATTTGTTGGGCAACACACAATTAGTTGAAGTTCAGGTGATATTGATACATTAAAAAAATCTAACCAATCTATAACTAATGTAACAACATTATTATATTAAAAAATTATTAAATTATCATAATTTTATCTATAACTGATGTAACAACATTATTATATTAAAAAATTATTAAATTATCATAATTTTATCTATAGCTAATGTAACAACATTATTATATTAAAAATTTATTAAATTATCATAATTTTATCTATAACTGATGTTTTCTTTTAACATCTTTGCTTCCAACAAGGCTGCAAGCAACCATTAATTAGTGTTGGAAGTTACTGGAAGAGAAAAGATAAAGATTGTAGAACAAGATAACGATTGACAGACAACTTGAAAGATTGCAAATTATATGAATCAGGAAAGCAAGATGAAGGAAGTGAATTCCAAAGAACTGATGTTCGAGGAAAAAAAATAGACGAATAAGAGTTTTTGGAGCACTTAAGAACAGTAACAGAAAAAGGATAAATGAAGAGTAACACGAGAATGAATTTTATTAGATGGCACAAGAGGCGCTAGCTCTTTAGAGCAGTGACCATTATAGTATTTATAGAAAAGAAAAAGAGAAGCAACATTACGACTATGTGACAGAGGTTAAAGGTTGGCTGCAAGAGCAGGTCCAACTATGTTTACAATACGTTTTTGCACCTTGTCTAAAAGAGAAAGGGCATCATTAGAAGATCTGCCCCAGATATGGCAACAGTGTTCCATACAAGGCAAGATTTGAGATTTATAGAAATAGAGAATAGAATCCAGAGTAAGAAAGTGTCGAGCTTGATAAAGTGATGCAACTTTAGCAGATGCTAATTTTTGCAACAGATTTGATATAAGGTTTCCAAGAAAGATCAGAAGTGAGAGTTAATCCTAGAAGATGAAGGGTAGATGACTCATCCAGTACATTACTGTTCATAACTATAGGAAGGTCTAAATTATTGTGATAATGATTGGCTGAAAAAAATTGAGTTTTATCTGAATTAAAGTTCACCAGCCACTGTGAGCCCCATGCTGTGCAGAAGTGAGATCCTTTTCAAGCTCAAATGCCCCCTGCAAGCAATCAGAGGGAGTTGGCTTCTTATCGTGACAAGAATAAATGGTAGTATCATCAGCGAACAATGCCACCTTAGATGTGAGAATATCTGGAAGATCGTTAATGTATATTAAAAAGAGTATAGGGCCAAGGGTTGAACCTTGAGGAACCCCTGAGGTTACAGAATAAGAAGAGTGCTGTCCATCAAGGACAACCTTTATACTAAGATTGGAAAGGAAGAAGCCTTAACCTCTCCACCTTTATCTAATGCACGATAAAACCTATCGGTTATTACTGTTAGCAAATCAACCGTAGAACGAGAAGATCGAAATCCATATTGATGATCAGAAAGTAGGTTATGAGATTCAAGATGAGAGATTAAGTGTTTGTTAATTAAAGATTCAAAAACCTTGCTTATGATAGGAAGAAGACTAATAGAACGGTAGTTAGATGAATCGGATCGCTCTCCAGAATTTTTAAAAGTAGGGATAACAGATGCTGCTTTCCAGCAGGCTGGAAAACAAGACTCGTATAAGATAAGCACTTGTTAAATAGTTTTGAAAAGATAGACGACAGCTCCGGAGAACACTTCTGCAAGACTATAACAAGTATAATGTTTGGGCTGCAAGCTGTAGAAGAGTCTAAGCAGGAAATCACTTTAGATACAGAAACTGGAGTGATATGGATGTCGAGCAATGGATCAACCTGTTTGACGGCTATATCAGTTAGAACGCAACTAGTGGAGTCAAGAGATGATATTGATGAAAAGTTCTTGGCAAACAATTCAGCTTTGTCTTTAGGTGAAGTGACAAAATCTGAACCATACAAAGGAGGTGGAATTACAAACTTGCCCTTATTATTGATACTATTAAAGATTCACTAGAAGTCGCTAGAGCCTAACTTTTGTGATGAAATACTAGATTTCATGCTCTGAGAATAGCGGGCTTTGGCGTTAGACAAAACCTTTTTATAATGGTTCCTAGCAGTAATAAACAGGCGTCTGTTTTCTGAAGAATTGTTTTGCTGATAGATATGGAAGTAATGGTTTTGATTGGCAATTGCAGCAGCGCAATGTGAGGAAAACCATGGAGAAGAGTGAGGCTTGACCTGGAATTGCCGAGAGGGAATAAAGGATTCCATGCCAGCCTGAATCCACGAAGTTATGTAAGAAGCACATTTGTCAACAGGAAGACAAAAGATTTCTACACAGGGGCCATCATGAAGAAAATCACGGAAAGAGTCCCAGTCAGCTTAAAGGTAGTTATAAGATGTACGATGATAGGGGGATTCTGATGGTAAAGAAGAATGAGATAATAGTTTTAGAGAGACCAAACCATGATCAGAAGCACCTAAGGGTGAGTGTGGAGAAACTGAGCACTGACTAGGATCAGAAACAGATAAGTTATAGGATAAGTCGAGTAGAGAAGGTAAATGATTCGAGTTATCTGGAAAGTGAGTTGGAAAGTTGACTATTTGAGTTAGGGATTGAGAGAGGCAAAAGTTGTGGGCCTTAATGCCTGCAGAGTCACTGACACTAGAGTCAAGCCATTCAGTGTGATGAACATTGAAGTCACCGGCAACAACAATATTGGCTGATGGATAAAGAGAGAGGGCTTGGTCAATATGATCAGAAATAACATCAAAAAGAGTGCAGTCTTGAGATGAGGGAGAGCGATATAGAACAAAGAGAAAGGTGATAGAGTGAAGTGGTGCTAAACACATGTGAAAGCACATAAAAGAGTTGTCTGTGGATTCAAACCTAGTTTCTCGACAAATGGGTGAATTCTTACGAATATAAATGCCCAGGCCAAGCATGTGACTATTGGAGTAATATGTAACAACATTATTATATTAAAAAATTATTAAATTATTATAACTTTAGTTATGATGTCATACACTTAAAAATGGCATTATCCAAAATTTCTCTTATAGAATTTTAAAAAAAGTTGTTTTTAATTACATTTTGTCAGACTGATTAAATTAAGAAAAAACAACTCATGTTTTTATTCTTCAAAAAGTTTTTTGATTTTTCTGTTAAACTTTGTAATTTGTAGTTCGCATTAAAAAGCGAATTTTTCATTTTTTTAAATTTGACAAAAAATGGTTCATTGTGTAATTTCCAATGCAGTGTTTTAATGGCAATAAATTCAATTATAAATTTGTTTATTCTATTTCATTACATTGCATTAACTTTTAGGTTTGCTTTTTTTTTTTTTAATGTTTTTTGTTTTTAGTGGAAGAAAGTGGAGTAATTTGGAATCATTTTTGTCAACCACTGGGCCTTTTTCTAATTCTCAATATGAAGCAAATTCACAGGTTTAAAAAGAATTTTAGTAATAATAGTTAATCTAATTATTTTATTTTTTGGATTGTGTGAGATTAAACATCAATGTATTAACGCGATTAAAGTCTTTATATATTAGAATATCAAGATCTTAATGTGATGAGATATTATGATATTTAATGTGATTAAACATAAAGATTTTACTTTGATGGAACCTACTTTTATTTACAAATGTTAAAAAATAAATTGGTTTTAACTCTTTTACACCAAAACAGGTCATTAATGACCCTGTAGTAATAAATCAACTTATAAAAAATCTTATAAATAAATTTTTATTTCAAGAGTAGTCACTGAAGTTGTTAAGATTTTCACCAAGTTTTAAAGTTGAATTTTCCAATTTTTTTTTTTTTAATAAAATATTTTTTCCAAATTCACAAAATATTTGTGTCCACAATTATAAAATTTTTTAAAAAGATATCCGATGTATATTTATTTTTTATATAAAAAATGTTTTATGGAGGAAACATGATGCCATCTTTTACTGTTATACCCATTTAAATATAGTGTGTTGAATTTTACTGTTTTACAAATATTTAATTTAGGTGCGAAAAAGTTGACTTAACATTAGTAATATGTGAAACACAATAATTAGTAAATGTGAAAATAATACATATTTTTTCTTTACAATCTACAATCTCATTTTTTTAAATATAAGGTACTCATATATAACATATTGATATATATATGAGTTATGTATATAACATAATATGTTATATATTATGTGTTACTCATATACATTATCTGTCTAAATTTGAAGTTGTAATTATTTTTGTATTAAGTTAAGGGGTCGTTCCGTGCCAAATGGTCTAAAATTTTAGGATTCCAACATGGACCCCCTCAGATTTTGATGAAACTTAGTGGGTTGGTTTATATCAATGAGAAAAGCAATTCCTGAAAATTTCAGCTTTAAATCTTATGTGGTTCATGAGATATGGCCATTTGAAATTTCTGATTTTTCCAAAAATAAAAACTTCAGTAGCAAAAACATGTTTTGTTCATACTTTGAAGCTCTTTATTTTAAAAACTAAATTTCAGAAAACCTTCTAGTTTTTTTTATCATTTACAATGCTAGGCTTACTTTGTTAAAACTTTGACATTAAGTTTTTAAATATGCGGTAGTGGTGTAGTGGTAGAGCGCTCGCTTCATAAACGAGTGGTTCCGAGTTCGATCCCCACCACGTCCCTGGTAGTACCGCGCTTAACTCGTTTCTCCGCGCAGCGACCTTGCTTGTCAAGGTTCGTGTTTCGGAGTTATAGAGTTGAGAGAGGGTTATAGCCACAAAATAAGTAGCCTCCTCATCTGTAGTGGCCTTCTCGACCTTGAGGAGGTGAAGTAAAATAAAATAAAAAAAAAAAAAAAAAAAAAAAAAAAAAATGTCACATTTTATTCATAATGGCTGCCTAAAAAACCGAAAAAATTGTTTGCAGATATAGAAAGTTGATTTTTGATGGGTCAATATACAAAACTAGCAATTTAAGAAGTAAAAATACATATCTTTTTAGTTTCTATATATGGTAGGCTTCCTAATTTTCAGAAATTTGCTGATATGATACAATTCAGTAAGAAATTATGGACCCCTAAAAATGGCTCCGGCTAGAACTTACAAAATTGTGCCTTCCCTTAAATCCACTGGTAACCTATGATCAACACTGATTTTCATAATATGCCTTTTTTCTACTCATTTAGTAGACTTTATTAAAGTGATTTCAGAAAAAAAAATAGTGGGTACACATGGGGAACTTACAAAGTCAGAACAATGAAGTTGGCACAAAATGCATTAAAAACGCAAAAAATAGAGATATTGATGTACTTTAGTATTCATTATTTACTGCAATGCAAAAAAATGTATATATATATATGAAAGTATATCAAAATCATTGCTACAAATTAGCTTTAAATTAGGACTGAATTAAACTCAGGTTTTAAATAACCTTAGTTGACCCCCCCCCTGTCTTTTTATTTTTTAACATATATATATATATCTGGAAGAAAATACATATGTATTTTCTCCCAGAACTTATCTTAAAAGAAATATGTTTTTGTATGTTTTACTTTACAAAATGTGTCTGATTTTTTTTCTAATGCATGAAGTGTTAATGCACAAAATAACAATTGAACATACACAGTTAAAAGCTGTGACATGGCAAACAAGTTATTGGGTGTACTTTTTATCTTTATTTTGTATATAAAATTTATCATTCTACATTTATTTATTGTGTCAAAACTTATGGAAACTTTAGTTTACACTTCAAAAATTGAAAATAAATATATTTTTTTTAGATAATAATTAAAAATAAATGGCAAGTTCATCTTTAGATCTAACTCAATGTTGCATTGGAAAAAAATTAAATGAAAATTGTCATGAAGGAAAATTTACCAAAATTAAGAAAATTAAATTTTCTGAGGAATTAACAAAAAAAGATCAAGAGCTTGTGCACTTAAGATGTAAAGTAAATCCTATTAAAACTATTTGTAATCACCATGAAAAGATCTTCTTGGATAGATTTGAGTCATCGTATGTTGGAAGCTTTTGTTGCGATCCTTTTAACAAACACAAAATTAAAATTAAAAGTATTTAAAAATAGATTAACTTAATGATTATATTAAAGATAAAGTCTTCTTTATTTATTTATTTAGTGTTTTATCATATATTTTTTTAGAATCTGTCAGAGTAATCAGTGCTGCTGTTGCAAAGGAATTTGATTTAATACCTGGTTATAAGCTTTGTACAGAATGTCGTAAAATATTGCACTTAAGAAAACAAGAACATGAAAGCGATTCATGTGAAAATCAAGATAACGATTTTAATGGGATTCATATTTCAAAAGAAAACTTTAGTTTAAGCATTACACCTTTGGTTGTTCACCTCTAAAACTAGTAGCTTATAAAGACAGAGTCAGCTATGCAAAAAAAAAAGATTAACAAGATCCATACTGCAACCAAAAAGAAAATAGCAACTGTTTTAGATGTTTCTCCGGATTTAATAAATGATGAACCAAAAACAAAAGAACTTTGTTGTAAAAGTAAACAAGATTTGGACTTACTAATGGAATTAATTAAAGCAAAGTTTGATATTTCTTCAAAACCAGAAAAACTTAAATTGCTAACTTTGGTTCCTGAGAGTTGGAACATTAACTATACAGAAAACTATTTTTCTGCTTCCCAAAGAATGATAAAAACTGCAAGGCATTTGAAACAAATGCATGGCATAATGGCGGAGCTGTCTAAAAAAGGAAGATCTATTAGTGAGAAAGTAAAAAATCTAGTCCATGAATTTTACCAATCAGATGAATACTCTAGAATGTGTCCAGGAAAAAAACAGTATGTCTCAATCCAAGTTGATGGTAAAAGACAACATTTTCAAAAAAGACTGCTATTACTTAATATAAAAGAACTTTATTTAGAGTCTGTTAAAATTTCCTTAGATGTCAAGATTGGATTTTCTAAGTTTTGTGAACTTAGACCAAAGTGGTCTATTCCTGTTGGAGGTGCTTCAGGTCTCCACTCAGTATGCGTTTGTGAGTGCCACCAGAATGCCAAACTTTTAGCATTAAAAATACCAGATATTTCAGACTATAAAAATCTCTTGACATTAGTTGTATGTGACTTAACAAATCGAGACTGCATGCTGCATTGTTGAGATAACTGCTCAGATAATGACACACTTAAAGAGTATCTTACTACTTTGTTTGATAAACATAGCATTGAAGAAATCAACTTTAATCAGTGGCAAAAAGCTAACAAAAAACATGATATAGTTCCGGTAACTCTTCCAGTGGACGATTTTATTGAAAAAGCTTTTCAACAAATAGACCAATTAAGAGACCATCACTATATAGCCAAAAATCAAGCAGCATATTTGCAGCATCTAAAAATCACATTAGCAAGTAATCATATTTTAATATTATTAGACTTTGCTGAGAATTACAGTTTTTTAATTCAAGATGCAGTACAAGGTTTCCATTGGAACAATAGCCAAGCAACATTGCATCCTTTTGTTATTTACTTTATGGAAGAAAACAAGATAAAATGTAAAAGTATTTGCATTATCTCAGATAATTTGCAACACAATACAAACTCAGTACATTGTTTCATTCATGAAGTATTAAAACATTTAAAAAACCTGATACCTTACTTTAATCACTGCATTTATTTCAGTGATGGTACAAGTTCACAAAACAAAAATTATAAAAACCTATCTAACTTATGTCATCATAAACAAGATCATGACGTATCTGCAGAATGGCATTTTTTTTCCTACATCGCATGGAAAGAGTGCGTGTGATGGTGTTGGGGGAACTGTCAAAAGACTTGTAGCAAGGGCAAGTTTACAATCACTAGTTGATCCTATCAATTCATCTAAAAAAATGTATGATTAGTGTAGACAAAATATTGATGGAATACATTTTCAACACATTTCAAATGATGCAGTTACATTACATTGCATGAAATTTAAATTAGAAGAACGTTATGCTACTTGTTCAACAATTCCAGGAGCAAGAAACCACCATTGTTTTATACCACAATCATTAACTACTTTACAAATGAGACGGGTTTCATTCGACAATGTGTTTACTAATGTAAATATTTCAACAATGCAACAGAACTATACAATTCCACTTGCATCTCTTTCACCAGGAATTTATATAGCATGTGTTTATGATGGAAAATGGTTTTTAGGTAATATTGTGGAAATATCTGAAGAAAATCAAGATATCCTTATAAAGTTCATGAAGCAGTCTATTTCCTCTAACACTTTTACTTGGCCACATAGAGAAGATATTTGCTGAGTTCCAATAATGCACGTTCTATGCAAAATTTCATCTTTAAAAGTGCAATCAGCAACTGGTAGATGCTATGAACTGTCAGCTCAAGAAAAAACTGAAATAATACATTTGTACAATAGAATGTTTAATAACTAAGTTATATAATAACAAAGCAAAATTTGAATGATTCCATCTTTATGTTGATTTTTTATTGAATAATGTTTTTTAATGCATAATACGTATTATATAATTACATTAATTAATTAATTACGTTGCAATACACAAGTTTATTAATTAAATTAATTAATTAATAACTTAATTAAAGTTTAAAAAAAAAAAAAACTTAAAGTTTATTAATTAAATTAATTAATTAATAATTAATTAATTAATAAACTTGTGTATTGCAATGACAAATCAAATTACTCTTATCACTTGATATAATCTGTAATCTAAATTTAAACATGACAATAAGAGAATGGGAAAAATGATACTAAATTTAAGTCAGAATATAAAACTGTAAGATAATAACTGATATAGAAACAAAAATGTGTTGTGTCTAATAAGCATTTACAAATAAATAACACAGCTATTATTTGAGTATGTTCAATACTTGGTGCATAAAGATACTTCATGCATCAGATATAATAACAGAAACACTGCATAAGCTAAAATGTTTAATAAACAGTAGTTTAAAATGTTATCGAGAAATGTGTTCTTCTTAAGATAAGAATGTTCTGGGCAAAAATAAGCATTTAAAAAAATAAAAAGACGGGGGGGGGGGGTCAACTAAGGTTATTTAAAACCTGAGTTTAATTCAGTCCTAATTTAAAGCTAATTTGTAGCAATGATTTTGATATACTTTCATATATATATATATACATTTTTTTGCATTGCAGTAAATAATGAATACTAAAGTACATCAATATCTCTATTTTTTGCGTTTTTAATGCATTTTGTGCCAACTTCATTGTTCTGACTTTGTAAGTTCCCCATGTGTACCCACTATTTTTTTTTCTGAAATCACTTTAATAAAGTCTACTAAATGAGTAGAAAAAAGGCATATTATGAAAATCAGTGTTGATCATAGGTTACCAGTGGATTTCAGGGAAGGCACAATTTTGTAAGTTCTAGCCGGAGCCATTTTTAGGGGTCCATAATTTCTTACTGAATTGTATCATATCAGCAAATTTCTGAAAATTAGGAAGCCTACCATATATAGAAACTAAAAAGATATGTATTTTTACTTCTTAAATTGCTAGTTTTGTATATTGACCCATCAAAAATCAACTTTCTATATCTGCAAACAATTTTTTCGGTTTTTTAGGCAGCCATTATGAATAAAATGTGACATTTAAAAACTTAATGTCAAAGTTTTAACAAAGTAAGCCTAGCATTGCATATGATAAAAAAAACTAGAAGGTTTTCTGAAATTTAGTTTTTAAAATACAGAGCTTCAAAGTATGAACAAAACATGTTTTTGCTACTGAAGTTTTTATTTTTGGAAAAATCAGAAATTTCAAATGGCCATATCTCATGAACCACATAAGATTTGAAGCTGAAATTTTCAGGAATTGCTTTCCTCATTGATATAAACCAACCCACTAAGTTTCATCAAAATCTGAGGCGGTCCATGTTTGACCCTGGTTCACTTGGCATGGAATGACCCTAAGATTAGTTTCTGATTATTTTTTTCTGTATATTCTTTGAACAGCTGTTGTCTTGTTGTATGCATGCTGCTTGGAGATATTCAGTAAATGAACTGGGAAATGTCTACTGGGAACGATAAACTTATTTAAAATCTTAAATTTGTAATATATACTACATTTCTACTTTGTTATTAATTATTGATTTTATATATATATATATATATATATATATATATATATATATATATATATATATATATATATATATATATATATATATAGTACTTAACAATCAATACCATGCTACAAAAATTAATAACAAAATAGATAGATTTTTACTAAATTAAAATGAAATTTCTGTTTTCGCTTTTTTAATATCACACAATTTGTTAGTTATATAAAGCTGATGTAACTATTATAAATATTATTTTTCTGAAAAATAAAACTTGTAAATATAAACCAAGACATTGCAAGAGCAATTTATTGCTTCAAGTATAAATAAATAAAAAACTTCTATAGATTTAACTCTCTTATTAATTTTTTAAATTAATTTATAATATATCGAGGGAGTTTAGATACCCTTGTTATTATTTATGTTTATACTTGATAACATTATCAAATATATTTATTCTTGATAATGAGGATCTAAACTCACTTGAAATATTATATTGAAAAATGAGTAATAGAGTTATATCCATAGAAGAAGTTTTTTATTTAATTATAATACAATAAACTCTAAAAAAGATGTCATTTAAAGTTTGTAATAATTAATGTTTTTGATTTTTTTGTTTGATTTTTATAAGAAGAACCATTTTGATCTATATAGAGATGACAGTTTGGTTTTTTTTGAGAATAAAATTGGACAACAAATGGAAAGACTTAAATTTTGGCCTATACATTAAGGCCAATCATTAACAAAAACAATTAATAAAACCACATGTTGTGAAATTAGGCCAAGTTTATGCGCAGAATTCGACGAAGTCAATAAGTCAATATATATTTGTAAATATATATGAAAACAAAAAACAAAAATACATAAAAATAAACAATTAAAACTTTTAATTCTTTATTTTTATATATTTTTGTGCTTAATACTAGCAACTAATATTAATTAAAAATATGTAATAATTAATATCTTTAAAAATATGTTGATATTAGTTGTTAGACTATAAGTCCTTATAACATTTAGGAAACATCAAAGTTTCAAGCAATGAATCAGAGATACGAGCTCTGTAAGAGCACATTATCTATAAACTTTGACAAAAGATATGCTCAAATAGAGCTGACGTTGGGCAGATACACAGAAATACTTATCAAATTCAGATTTCTAATTTTCGAATATTGTCTCAGTGTGAACAGTTTTTTTTACCAAAAAATCTTTTTAAATTTGATTTTAAATTCTAGTGATTTTGAATTTAAATTCTGAAAAAATGAACTAAATCATATCATTTCTCAGAAGTTAGGCTCTAGAAACTTTTGGAAAATCTTCAACAGCAATAATAATAAGGGTAGGTCTAACATTCTATCTCTTATTCATGGGACTGATCTTATTACTTTTCCCATTGATAAGGCAGAACTATTTACAAAGGACTTTTTTTCTTATTTGACTTTTGAATCTAATGGCCGTTCTCTACCTTCCATTCCAATTAAACAGTTTAACCCATTGTTACCCATTCAAATCACTCCAGCTTCCGTTGCTAAAGTCATATCTTGATTAAACTCTTCTACAGCTTGTGGTCCTAATAATATTCCTGTCATAGTCTTACAAATTTGTTCTTCAGAATTCTCTATAATACTCTTTTAACTATTTAAGAAGTGCTTGACTGAGTCTTGTTTTCCTGCCTGCTGGAAAATGGCATCTGTTGTTCCAATTTTCAAAAACTCTGGAGAACATTGTGAACCCTTATTATTGTCTAATAATTTTCTTTCTGTTATTAGCAAGGTCTTTGAGACTTTGATCAAAAATTTTCTTACATCCCATCTTGAGTTAAGTAACTTACTGACAGACAGTTTTTAATCCTCTTGCTCTAAGGCTGTCTTGCTGTCACTGCTGTTGTTTAAAGATTTTATCATACATTAGATGGGGGTGGAGAGGCTAGGGCTATTGATCTTGACATATCTGAAGCTTTCAACAAAGTTTAGCATGCTGGTCAACCCCATAAGCTTGTTTTATGTGGTATATCTTGGAAATTTTTTGAGATAATTAAATCATTTCTTTCTAACCGATTTGTTAAAGTCATCCTTGAAGGCCAACACTCTTTTTTATTTCCAGTAACTTCTGGGGTACCTCAAGATTCTATACTTGATCCTGTTTCGTTTCTTATCTACACTAATGACCTTCCCAACAACTTTACATTTAAAGTTATTAGGTAAAAGTAAAGTTTTTAGCTCTTTTTGCTGATGGCTCTTATAACTTATTAACGTTATTCACTTGTCTTGACAAAAAGTCTTCTCTGCATTGGGCGATCTTTATAGACTAAATAATTTTACAAATTATACTTTGTTACCAAATTTTTTTTTTTAATATTTGTACTAAACATTATTGCGTTGTTTCTATTATCTTACTTATAGTCAAAAAATAAAATGAGTTACTGTTAAAAATTTAATGAATTTAACAAAATACGCAAACTGATTAAAAATTATCCAACACATCTTTAAATTCAATTATTGAAGTCAAATTTACTTTTTTTTCATAAGCAGATCATTAGCAGTTTCAATTCATATTAAACTTGTTTTGAGGTTTATATTTACATAATTCTTATGAAAAATTTATATATAAAAAGAGCTAATAAGTTTTGTTGAATTGAATAAAAGTTAAAAAAAAAAAAAAGATCTTGCTTATCATTAAATTAAAGTAATTCCAAACAAACATGATTTAGTTATAAATTAAGTTCTGAAAAAGTTTTCTTGTTACTCTATCAAGACAAATAATAGCTTGTAATATATAAATAATAATAATTTAATAAATGAATAATAAAAAAATAATATAATTAAATATGTATGATATAATAAAAATAAAGCAAAAACGAAAAAATTTTTATCTAAATAGTGAGTAAATTTTACTCGCAGTGAATGAAATAAAATATGTAACAAGATTAGATGCATTTATAATTTTGTTATAAATTAATAGTTTTTAAGTTCATCCTTTGTTGATTTTGTGCAATCCAATAATATTTAGAGTTTTAAGAATTTTACCATTACATATGTTTTTTTTTTTATCTTTAGAATTTTATGTTTATGCGTGATTATATAAAGATTTTGGTTATTGGTGCTGGTGGATTGGGTTGTGAACTTTTAAAAGATTTGGTAACATTTTTTTTTACTCTTAATTTTTTACATTTTAGAGAAATAAACACAATATACTAGTATTCCAGATTTTTTTAAAAATATTTAATTAACCATTAATGCCAACTACATCTAAGCAACAAAATTAAAAGTTCTGAATTCAGCCAAAAATAGTCTTAGATTTTTTTTTGCACATTTTTTATTGCCAACAAGTAATGATTTATAAAAACAATTGCAGATGTTGAGTTAAACAACCAAGCAAGCAATATTTATGATTACAGTTGAACAACAAACCAAATAATATCAATGATTGGAGATGTTGGGTTGAACAATAAAGCAAGCAATATTTATGATTGTAATTGTTAAGTTGAACAACAAAGCAAGCAATATCAATGATTGTGGATGTTAAGTTGAATAATAAAACAATATCAACAGTTGTGGTACTATTTATTTTGAGCTAACAGCAGGGCCAAATTAAATACTTCTTGGCCTCCCGCCACTTAAAGTCTTCTGGCCCGAGTTTAATAGTAGTTTAAAATAAAAAAATCTTTGTAATTGTTGCGCTATGGTTTTTTAATGTATTTTCTTTTGTATTTAAACAAGCATCTTACATTATTTATTACACACACAGTGATTAGTATAAGTTTTAAAACACCTTTGTCTGCATTTTAAGTTTGCAAATACGGATATGATATCTTCTAGATTGATGGAATCCAATACCTGGTTTTCCATTTAAACAATAGAAAGATCTGAAAGACATCCCTGACCTATTAAATAGTTAATAAATAAAAGATAATATGTAACTTTTTTTTTTGCCTGGGTATGACATTTGCTAAATAAAACTGAAGAAATGATTATTAAACTTGATATTTTATATGATTTCTAATCAAAAAAAAACCCAGCATATTTAACAATGAAATAAAAGTTAAAAAGATCCTGAAGAATATTTTTAACTTTTATAAGTAAAAAAAAATGTCTTTACACTAAATACTCAATATTTAAGAGTACACGAAGACTATAATTGAAACCGTAGTAACATTTTTAAATAATATAAAGTTTAACTACTGAAAATATAAAAATAAAAGTTTGAATAACTAAGACTTAAAGTTGAGACTGTAGTTGAAATAGAATATCTAAGAAAATATTAGAAAGTTAAATTTTTGTGCGTTTTTGCTGTAGTTTAAGTAGTACGTATTTGTAAATAAAATAGTATATATATATATATATATATATATATATATATATATATATATATATATATATATATATATATATATATATATATATATATATATATATATATATATATATATATATATATATATATATGAACAGTGTAAAATAAAAAATGTTTAATAAATGATTTTCTATTAATTTATTATTGCTCTGTTCTTTTAAAAACATATATATATATAATACATTTTTACGTATTTTCCTTTAAATCATTATTTTACACATTTTATCATTTTAAAATTGTTAAATGTTTGTTACTTGTTTAGAAATTTTATGGATTAATATTTTATGGATAAGTTTTTCTGTTTATTTCAATATTATTTTATAAGTTTATTTTTCTATTTATTTCAATATTATTTTATGTATAAATTTTTCTGATTTTTTCAATAATATTTTTCTTATATTAATATTTTTTTCAATATTTTTATAGTTTAATTGTTTTATCTAAATTAGGGTATGATGGGATTCAAGCATATTCATGTAATTGATATGGACACAGTGGAACTTTCTAATCTTAATAGACAATTTCTTTTCAGGTCTCTTTTTATAAATTTCTTTATGTGTCAAATGATTCTACCTCTATTTAAGTTTCTTTTGAAATTTTTAAGTTTTAAAAGAAACCTAAATATTAATAATTTTTTTTTTTATTTCTTTTAAAAATATTATAAAAATACATATAGGGTTGTTTCCACACTTACCGTGAGTTTAACAAAAGTTATTATAATATGTTAAATTACTCAAAAAGTAGAAATTTATTAGAAATGAATTTTTGCAGCCGTCAATGTAATACTATAAAGGTTAGTTTAAAATTATTCTCACTCTGAAATTTAAATCAATAATGTATTTATTTTGATCAAACTTTTAAAGCGCAGTTTTCCATACTTATCGTAAGTGTGTCACACACCGTATATATTGTTGACACTTATCCTACATCTTAAAATCTGCTTTAGTGACTGGTTTATAATGCGCTCGCGGTTTCAAATGAAAATTTAATGCATTAGTAACATTTTATTAAACGTTTTTAGGTATATAAATTAAAAAACAAGACTATTAAATAAACATTAATTATAAATTTAAAAACAGTTATTAAACTATTATTTTGAATTAAAACTAAAGCATTTTAAAGCATTTCCATTATTTTAATCTTTTAAACTGGAAAGGATAGAGTTTGATCATGATTATCTGAGTCTTATATTATAATTATTGTTAACAATTGAACTCGTTTTCTGACTCAGTTTCAAGGCTTACTTTTTCTTTTGCGACTTTTATTTTCTTTTCAAAATTTTTATGTTTTCTCTTTCTTTTTTAGTTTTTTCATTTAGTAACTTTTTCTCCATAGCCATTTGCTGCCACGTTTTAGATGTTACAACTGATGGTAAACGTTCTATTTTGCGCTTTGATGTTTGGACTGGTTGTTTTGGCCACATTAAAACACTTTTAATTGGATTTATGATTTTTGCTGCTATTTTCAAACTAGAACAAGCTGGTTTTGGTTCTATTACTGCTGCAATATTGCAATCAGGCATTTCCATACCGGTTATAATTTGCACATTTTCTAAATTACAAGTTGTTGATAGATTTTTATTACCCTGTTGTATTTCATCAGGTAAAATTGTGGTCTTATATGTTCAGATGAGGCTCTTTTCCAAAAAAGATACAGCTGGAGGTATTCAAGGTCACCTTTCCAACCTAAATGTTCGTCAACTATTTTAAACTGCTCTAAAATACTTGGATCAATGCAGTTTTCAATAAAGTTTATGGGAGAGGAAGCTGATAAAGTCATACTTGATTGATTCTCTTCTAAATAAGGATTCGGAGCCACAGTTGACTCAGATACTCTTTGAACAATTTTCGTGTAGTCCACACTATTAGCATCAAATGGAAATATTCTGGTATTTTTAAAACAACTTTTAACATTATTTGCCATAGAAGGATCAATTATAAATGAATTTAATGCTTCTGGTACATTTTCATTGTTTATTTTTTGTCCTTCATTGTGAATGTGCCATTGTTGGCATAAAGATTTCCACTTTCATAGGGCCAAAAACTGCCACATCGAGCGGCTGCAAAATATGTATTGCATTTAGGAACAAAGCAACAAGAATTATTCAATTTTTAGAGCAAAACTCACTAAGTTCGATAGAAAAATGTGGCGCATGACCATCAAAAAAAATAATAACTGGTAAAGGAATTTCTTCTTTTATCAAAAATAGATGAAAAATGTTTGTAATATACTTAAAAAAACATTCTGCGATCATCCAACCATTTTCACTTTTTTCAATACCCCATCCTGATGGAGCAGTATTTATAATTCTATTTGGAAGTTGAACATATTTAAAAATTGATAATGGTGAAGTAAAAGTTCCGCTGGTTTTGCAGTAAAAGTTCCGCTGGCATTTACTGCAAATAAAGTAGTGATGCTTTTATTATTAATTTGAGCACTTTCTTCCTATATATTTTTTCCTTGTTCACCAATTAATAAATTAGTTTTTGGTGACAACTGAAAACCACTCTCATCCATGTTGAAAACGCGCGTCGAATCATTTAAATATTGAGCATTTTCTCCTAAAAGCTTTGGAATTTCAGTAAATATTATAATAATAATTAATATAATAATAGCATCTCTTAATTGGCTATCTGTAAGTTGATAAAAAAAAATTACAATCTCATGCCATTTCTGTCGAAGCCTGACATAAGCACAATTATTACCTAGATTATATTACAATCTAGACTTTATAACAATCTAGATTATTTTAATATGTAAATTATGTTACTATTAGATAATATTTTACACATGTCTGATGTTTTTTACTTATATGTATGCTCATCAATAATTAAGTC